ACTTGCCATGACTTTGTGAAAGGAAGCCAGGGTAGGCCCCAAGGCTTTCAGATCCCAGCCACACCCCCAACTGGCCCTTCTCATGATACATTTCAAACTCGAACACATTGTTCCAGTTAGGGATGCATGTTGAATCTTGAGAACAGGAACCCAACTTCCATTTTGAGAATGGCCCTCAGAAGACTTGCCAAATTCTCAGTGACCTCCTGATTGACCACATTAGGTGCTGGGCTTTTTGTTTCCTTTTCTGGATGTGAGACTGGTTTCCCTCAAACAGCACATTTTCCTCTAAAAATTGCCAATACCAGAAAGAGCCGTCCCCTCCACTCCCTGCCCAGCCCTCCCCCAAGCAGGTTCACAGGGCTATTTTTATTGGCTCCTTTTGCATCTTGGCACTGCAGCATCCGAAGCTTGGCTATTTTCATCCTCCTCATTCTCATTCTTCTGCACTTGATGTCACAGGCCACCAGGCAGGGGAGTGAGCTGGAAGAATTGGAGCAGAACAGGCAGGAGGCCTGCCTGGGTCCTGTCCTCCAGGCCTCCCTCAGACAGGGCACATTTGTCAACCCTGAGGGTTAGAAACAGACCCAGGGGAGGAGTTTCCCAAGAGGCCAAATGACATTTATGGGAAGATTCTGCCACCACCCATGGTCCATGTTAGTGGTTGCTAAGATAACTCGCCACACACAGACAGATCTGGGGAATGAAATGCATGCATCTGCTCCCTTTGCTTCGCGTCAGGATCAGAGAATTTGTCCCAAAATAAGGAGGATTAAAAATAGTCAGAGGATATCATGATGTAGCTATTGGTTTGGAAGTTTCTTTGCCATGTGTCGGGCTTCTGAATCATTTTGGAACAAAGTGGAGTCTTTTCCTGTTAGCACATATAGACTGGCTTCTCTCAACAGATTTTGATTTTCTGGGGCTCCCCAATTTCAGGTCTGTGTTCAGTAGCTGAAAATCTCACGGGCTTGAATTCATGTTAATATTTGATTGGGGGGGTGGGGTTCTCTCACTTTCAGAAAAAAGGACTGAAGAAGTGCTAATTGTCATGAGCTTTCATATGACCCCTGGCTAGTCATCAGACTCACTCTCAGCTCTCTTAGACAATTAGGTTTTTTCGTCCTTCTGCTTGTTCCAATGAAGTCCTGTGACAGTGTGTCACTGAGATGCTTCTCACTGCAGATGCGGCTGCTCAATCACAGAGAGATGTGTCTGAGTGTAAAGAGTCTGCTGTGGGTGGGTGGGGGACTGTGGAGAAATGGCGCCTTCAGTCCTGGGCCCACCTGGGCCCCTGTACTTAGTCTGTGGACAAGGGATGCAGGAGGGGAGGCCACCTAGTGTGTGGGCTCAGCCACTTCCCTTCCACCCACACAGAACCGCCATTCCAGTTGGTGTGCAGAAACACACTCACCTATTTATTTCATAAAAAGATTAGATGATTTTTTTCCAGGTTTTTGTTGATTATTCTTCTACTTTAAAGCTGTGACCATATTGAAACTTTTCTTTATCTGTGTGAAGGCAACAGTCACATCTGACATTTGAAAACCAGTTTGTGTGTATATTTGTGTGTCTGTATGTATATATATACAAACATATGTGTATACTTGTGTGTATACATGAACATGCATATAGTTATATCTTTTGTTTTTGCTTCTTCAGTATTTCTCAGTATATCCTCCTTCCCAGAGAGCCTTCCCTTTTGTTTTTTTTAAAAATATTTTATTTTTCCTCCAATTACATGTAAAAACAATTTTTGACTTTTTTTTTTTTTAAAGTTTTGACTTCTGAATTTCATCCCTTTCCCACTCCTGAGAGGGCAAGCAGTCTTGTGTAAGTTATACACATACAATCACGTAAAACATTTCCGTATTTGTCATTTTGTGTGAGGAGACTTGAACAAAAAAAAAGAAATAAAGAAAGTGAAAGATAGAATTCTTCAGTCTGTATTCAGACAACGTCAGTTCTTTCTGTGGAGGTAGATGGCATTTTTTCATCATGAGTCCTTTGGGATTGTCTTGGATCATTGTATTGCTGAGAACAGCTAAGTCATTCATAGCTGATCATCTTACAATATGGCTGTTACTGAGTACGGTGTTCTTTTGGTTCTGCTCACTTCACTTTGTATCAGTTCATGTAAGTCCTTCCAGGTTCTTCTGAAATCTGCCTGCTCATCATTCCATCACATTCATATGCCACAACTTGTTCAGCCGCTCTCCAGTTGATGGGCATCCCCTCGATTTCCAGTACTTTGCCACCCCAAAAAGGGCTGCTACAAATATTTCTATACAAGTAGGTCCTTTTCCCTTTCATCCCTTTTAACAAAAAGGAGAAAAAGGAGGGGAAAACAGTTCACTGCATCTAATCAGCGCATTGAAAAAGTTTGACTTGAGTCCTTCGCTTGGGTAGAGGAGCCTTCTCATCGGTCAGTCAGCAGGTATTTATTAAATGCCTTCTGTGTGCCAGGCGTTGTGCTGGTGCTGAGGATACAAGCACAAAGAAAGAAGTCCATCTGGGAGGAGCCGGGCACCTGCTCTTGACACTGTGCTGGGGACCCAGAGACAGTCCCAGTGCCTGCCCCCCGGACACTCACAGCCCAAGGAGGGGACACACGAACATTGGAGCCAACCTAGGCCCTCGCAGCGGGTGGGGGGAGCGTTGGAAGGAAGGACGACCAAGGCCAGGCTCAAGCATCATTATAACTTGGGAGCGGTCAGTTTTGATTTGTTGTCATTGTTCCGTCTGTTTACTTATCGTCACAGCACAGACTGTTTCCTTGGTTCTGCTTACTTCATTTCACATCAGTTTATAGAAGTCTTCCCCCGCTTCTCCTTTCCTCCAATGCAATAACAGGCCCTCATGCCCCTCCCTACACCACGGTTTGTTTATCCACTCCCCAGGTGTTGTGCAGAGGCAGATCTGGGCAAGTCACTTTACCCTGTTTGCCTCAGTTTCCTCATCTGAGAATGACGTGGCAAACCACTCCAGTACCCTGGCCCAGAAAGCCCCAGATGGGGCCATGAAGAGTCAGACATGACTGAAACAACTGAGCAGCAGCCACAGTCATTCAGCTCACTACTTCATTTTGGAAAGCAGGTGTTACTCTGCTTAACACTTTGAGGAGGCTGTTTAAAGATTTGTCTTTGTGTCCCATGTCTGTGGGATCTCTGCTCTAGAGCAGGCCCAGCAGGCTACGGCTGGGGGCCTTTTCTGGCCTTTCTGCCTGTTTTTGCCTGGCGTCCCTCTTGGGATCTGGACCTTCTTGTCCTGATCCTTCACAGAGGAACCCCTCAGTGCCGGAGACCTTCCTCTAGCTCCCGTAACCTTTCCACGATGCCACTCCTCCCCACCCCCCCCCCGCCTCCCCGCCACTCTCTCTTGCTCTGTGACTGACTCACTGTCTTCTCTGGTGTCTGATGCCAATTCTCCCATTGTTGGTCACCTGTGATTCTGATTCTCCTGAGGTCATCATGTGGTGTGATGTCCAGCCATAGGGGTCATAAGGATGAGCTTGTAAGTCAGGGAGGAGCTGGGGTGGGGAGGGTCACTGAAGGTGCCAGCTGATTTTCCCAGCGGAGTCTAACCTGCTTTCTCTTATCAGCTCTGGGTCCGTGTGATCACCCATGTGGAGGGCCTCTCCAGATAGGGCTGCCTGCCTCGCCACACATGCAGCTGATCCGCCTGTGTTCTTCATTCACTTGCAGTGTGGTTAGTAATTGACACGGGGAAAATGAAGTGTATGAAGAATACGTAGATGTTACATTGAAGGGACTGAAATTGGAAAAGACTTCCAGGTTATGTGGGCCAGCCTCGGCCACCCAAAAGCCAAGTGGTTCTAGCCTTGTTTTAGTCTCTAGGTGACTTTTAGTTTTATGTTTGAGTTTTCATCATTTTATAAATGTTAAATGTATCAACAGTACGTGAAGTTAAAGTATCAGAGTTGATGAAACCATTTTCTAGATTAGGAGTTCTTCACTGTGTGTGTGTGTGTGTGTGTGTGTGTGTGTGTGTGTGTGTGTATGTGTGTGTGTGTTTGTGTTCTGGGCCCCTTGAGCAGCCAGGCTGGGGAAGTGTAGGGACCCGGTCTCAGAATCACCTTCATTAATACATAAAATATGGAGGATCACAAAGAAAACCAATTAGAGTGACATGTAGTTGTCCAGATATTTTGTAAGAATTCACAGACTGCTGGTTATGAGCCCATGTTCAAGAGTGCTCATTACTTGAAGCCATCAGTTCTGGATTATCCAAATCAAGATGAGAGATATTTTTCTTTCCTTCTTTGTGGTTTAGGCCAGGGGAGAGACTAACAGAGGAAGTGATGTTTGGAAGCCACCTTGAAGATGTTGCTGTAGAATTGTCGTGTGTGTGTCTTTGCTTTGGGGCCCCGCACGAGCCTTGCTCCATTGTCCTGTGGTGGCATGGAAGTGATGGGGCTCTGTACTGCCGGGTCAGTGGAGTCCAGCTCTGGCCAGTCCAGATGGGCTACGAAGCCTTGAGCACCATCTCAGAGGCTAGCTGGGCAGCCCTGTCTGGAGAGGCCCACCAAGTGCATGATTACATGGACCCAGAGCTGATAAGAGCAGGTCCATCACACCGAGGGGAGGCAGTGGGGAGGAATTTCACAGCCTCTGCAGCCCAAAGAGCAGCCTCGAAGGATGGTGATCCCACAGGGGCAGGGAGGACCCCGCAGGGGCAGCGAGCCCCCAGCTCCTTGCAGGGTTGAGCATATTTGGTGTCACACTCAGCAGCCCCCTGATCCTTTCAGATGTGTGTCTGCCCCTCAGCTCATCCCGAGTCAGGCTTTGTTCCCAGGGGACGTTTCCTTAGCTGGCTGCTGCAGGGGGCAGCGGGGGAGGAGCCGCCCAGCTCAGGGGACCGTATGGCAGCATCAGTTTGGCGTCGAGGTCCTCAGCACCCTCAGCGTCCTTGAGAGGAGCAGCAGCCCTCCTGTTGGCTGTTAGGAGGACAAGATCCCATCCATGCTTTCTCTACTTTAGGACCTTCAAGATGAAGTCAAGAGGGAGAGCTCCAATCTGCAGAAGCTGCAAGCCCAGAAGCAGGAAGTGCAGGAGATCCTGAACGGGCTTGATGAGCAGAAGGCCACGCTGGAGGAGCAGCTGAATGACGTCAGGCAGCAGTGCGCCCAGGAGGCCCACCTGGTAAGGGCGGCTGGGCTCACCGAGGCCCGGGGAGGAAAAAACCGAGTGCCACAGGCCTTGCTCACCGCTCACTCCTCTCTTAGGGGCCTGGCTGATGTCACTGCTGTTGTATGAGCCTCAAGTCTTCATGATGGGTTCTGCCCGAGAGGCAGCTGGCAGTGCCATGAGGAAGCACTGGGAGGACCTGAGTTTAGATCCAGCCTCAGACGTTTCTAGCTGTGTGACCTTGAACAGGTCACTTCACCACTGTGCCTCAGGTTCCATAACAGCACCTCCCTCCTAGGGCTGTTGTGAGGATCTGATGAGATGGTGTTTGTTAAATGATCAGCACAACAAATCTTTCTCTCTCTCTCTCTCTTTCCCTCCTCCCTCTTCCTTTCTTTCCTTCCTTACTTCCCTTCCCCCACAACCTCCAGATTTCTTCTCTGAAAGCTGAATTAACAAGCCAGGAATCTCAGATCTCCACTTACGAAGAGGAGCTGACCAAGGCGCGAGAGGAGCTGAGCCGCCTGCAGCGTGAGACGGCCGAGCTGGAGGAGAGTGTGGAGGCGGGCAGGGCCCAGCTGGGTCCCCTGCAGCAGCATCTGCAAGAGTCACAGCAGGAAGTCACCTCGGTGAGACTTGGGCAGGGGAGAACCTTCCTGTGAAGGCCTCAGGGAAGAGGCAGCCCCAGAGCTGGGCCTGGAAGGAAGCTCAGGGTTCTTCGAGGCAGGGCTGAGGAAGGAGGGCGTTTCAGGCAGGAGGCACAGCCTGGGCAAGGGCTCGGAGCGGGGAGAGGGAAAGGCCAGCTGCATGGGACTGGGTGGAGCGGCCTTGTGCTCTGGCTCCTGTCCTGCCCCCAGCCTCCATCTGCATGCAGACCTGGGGCTTCCCTCTCTCCAAGCCTCAGCTTCCTCACTGTGAAGGAGGTATAGAAATACTGTATGGATTGGGGTTGACCATGGCAAAGACGTGCGCTGTAGATTGTGAGCCTAAGATGATTGGTTTTCCAGAGGCCCCGAGTTGGGGCACTGTCCTTCAGAGCAAGTGGTTCCCACGACCTGGGCCCAGGCCTTGTGCTGCTTGGCCGGGTTTCTCCAAGGCCCAGTTTCTCTTCTTCCCTGCCTGCCATTCAGAAGGGCTGTGAGGGAGGCCCGAGAATAGGGGTGGAGGGTGTGGAGATGATTCACTGTTCTTACACTCGTGGCTGTGATGGTGAAGCCCTGGCTGCATCGTCATCTCGGAGATAAAACTCTCTAAAGAGACCTTGGTGAGAGCCGGCGCATCTGTAGCCTCTCGGGGCTGACGGCTCAGCTCGGCTATCACCCAGCTCCGGGTGGCAAGGCTTGGGAGGGATAGTCATCTCACTAGACACTGCAGGAAAGGAGAGGGTCTGGAAGGCCAGCCCAGTGTCCCTGGCTGAACAAGGAAGGCTTGGGGCTGCCTCAGTGAGCAGAGGACCCACCCTGCTGAAATGGCGGCTCCTCTCCGAGCAGCTTCACCCATTAGCCAGTTTGTTAAGCCCATGGGATTCCGAGCTAGAAGGGGACCTTGGAGGTCTCTTCGAGCCCTACTTCTTGGTTTGTGGCCAGGGGAACCAAGGCCCAGGCAGGGAAGTCATGTGCCCAGGTCATGTAATCCACCTGTCAGAGGAGAGACTCAAAGCCAAGTCGGGTGGCCAGGCGATGGAGTGACGGTGCCAGGCTCCGTCTGGCCAATGGAGAGTGGAAGCCTGTGAAGGCCAGGCGCTGATGCCCCTGCCCCAGCCTCAGGGCTGGGTGTGCCGTAGCCTGGCAGGGGAGGAGTCTCTCTGGTTAGAACCAAGCTAGCCATTTGGAGGTTTTCCCATTTGCTGCCACGCTTGGCACCTTGAAGTCAAGGTCACAGGCATCTTCAGGTCATGCCTGTCCGGGGAGGTAGGCCTTCTCTCAATGACCCAGTTCCCTTGTGCCTTTCCTCTTCCCGTGATCCAGATGCAGGTCAGACTGACCGAGATGAAGGAGCTCCACAACCCCAGCAGTCAGGAGAGCTGGCGCCAGAGCCCCCCCGGCAGCCTGGTCAACGGTGCTGCTGAGTACTGTAGCCTCAGCAACAGCAGCAGTGAGGTGGCCAACCTTCACGAGCACTCGGACACCCCGAGCACTCTGGACACGGAGCCGGTGGTCCAGGAGTCTCCGGTGAGGAGCGCTGCCGGGTGCCCAGAGGGGTGCCCAGTGCCCAGTTGTGCCTCTGTGGTCATTTCTGGCCTGCTGACCATTTCTCACACGCCCTCATTTGTATAGTGCTGGGAAGGATCCTCCTAGGTCCAGAAAAGACGCTCCTCCTGGTTCCTTAGGCTCCCTGTCACGTGTCTCTCCCAACATCCTCCTCGTCTTCATCACTTACTCTTTCATCTCCAAAGCATGTTATCCAAAGTCCCATTTGGTCTTGGCCGCCTGGGAAGCAGACGGTGTAAGCACATGAGCCCCATTTTGTGGAGGAGAAACCAAGACCCGAAAACTTGCCTGCTCAGAGCATATGGCGCCCACGGCCCCTCCTCTTGTGTCACCTGTTGGGGTCATTTAATTCTCTGGGAGCTAATGAGGCCGCAGAAGGGCCTGCAGAGGGGGCAGCAGCCCCCTCAGGAATGGAGGCTGTGGGGAGCCCCCAGGAGCTGGCAGAGACCCCAGCACATGTCAGCCTGCGCAGAGGGAAATGGCATAATGGCCCCATCTGCCTGTGGCTGGCAGTGCCCCAGAGCGAGCGGCTCTCGGAGGGACGGTCAGAGAGAGTCCCTCTGCTCCCAGGGGTGCAGGGAGGAAAGCTCGTTAATGTCTATATCAGTGTGAGCGGTCATGGCACCAGAGAGAGGGCTGCAAGGGTCCTTAGTGAGACTTCATGTAGTCTGGCTCTGCTCTGGCCTCCTTACAGGCCCAGAATGACTCGTGCACTTGGCCAGAGCTGCTCAGCATGGCTGGGCCAGACGCTTTGACCGCAGGCCGTGTGACTCCAAGTCCGCCTGCAGTGTTTTCTCTCTTCAACAGAGCTTGTCATCTGGTGGGCGGAGGGGAATGGCATGAATGCAGCAGATAGGCCTGTTAGGTCAGTGAAAGCAGGTTCAAGAGCTCAGCTTTCCTGACCTGGGCTCCCGCTGCTCCCACCCACATCAGACTCCTTTTTTAACTCAACCCATGTTCGTTTTCGGATCTCCTTTAGGTCAGAAGCAGTCCTGAAGTTCCTTCCTCCGAGGTAGCCGATGAAAAGGAAGGGGAGACTCCCGCAGCACCTGAAAAAGTGAGTGTGGGTCTCCCATTGCACCAGGGGAAGTGAACTCCTGAGCGGGGTCTTGGCTCTTCACTCGGCTTCCCAGCTGCCCCGGTAACTGCCCAGTAGGATCCATGGTGTATCGCTCACACAGCCCCCAGCCGGCTGAAGGCCCATGCCCCTCGCCTCCCCCAGAGCAGTGGTTGTGTGGGCTGCCTTCACAACAGGCAAGGCCTTTCAACTTCCATTACATGCCCCGATTCTCAGCAGGTAGAGAAATCAGAGCTCTTTTGCTTTTCTAAACAACAGACTTGTCATAATATGCTTATGATTTTAATTATCTTCATGCCAACACAGTATGTTTGGTTTCCTTTCAAATACTTTTGAATATTTTCTAGGAAGATTTCTTTAATTTAGACTCGAGCTCCCTATCTGATACTGCTGTGGAACCGAATCTGGATTTCTTCCAGTCGGACCCTTTCGTTGGTCGTAAGTAGCTTCTTTTGTGTTGGGGCCCAGGCCCAGGCAAGGGTTAGTCGCTCACCTGGGTGGCTGGGATGGTTGGGGAGAGCTGTGTTGTATCTCCTCAGTGCAGTCATGGAAATATGGTTTCTCCTGCATGCAAAGCACTGTGTGGTGGGTGCTGGGGGTACGAAGATAAAAAACAGCTCCTCAGCTCAGGAAATAGATGAGCTGCTGGGTGCATAGACCAGCAGAACTGTCTGCCCTGGAGTGGTCCAGGCTGCCTAAGGTGAAGGACTCTCCATCCCTGAAGGTCTGCCTGCAGAGGCTACAGTTAGGTTTGGCCCAGCCACCAGCAGTGTTTAGATGGGGGTGCCCCTGGCTTGTGCCCCCTGGTCCCCCTAAAGCCCTTTCCACTCCCCTCTGCAGTGGTCAGTTCTCCTGGGGGGGCTTCCAGAGTGGCCGCGTGACCTAGCTCTGGTGCCCATTTTGTACTGGGAAAAGGAGGGCTCTGGGGACAGCGTGTGGCAGTGTTTTGATGGCTACCTTTTTATTTTTGCCTCTAGGGGACCCTTTTAAGGATGATCCTTTTGGGAAAATAGGTCAGTACACATTTACCCCCACAGTGTTTGAAATTCAACCTTATGTCAGTCTGCAGTTAAACCTGGGTTGGGGCGGGGGAGTGAAGAGTGTGTGTGTGTGTGTGTGTGTGTGTGTGTGTGTGTGTGTGTGTGTGTGTGTGTGTGTGTGTGTGTTGGGGGAGGGGGGCTGGGCTCCTCTTCCTCCTGGTTTTAAAATTGGCACAGAGCTTCGTGCTGTTGCCCTTTCCTTTAGGCACAAGTTGGTAGGTTCCAGTCAGTTTTCTGATTTAACAGTTACCCTTTTCTTGAAAATAACATTCATTATCTAGCATCATAGCTAGCATGGCAGCTCCATATCAAGGGTAAGCTGAGAGGCTTTCAAAAGTACCCCCTTCCTCATGCCTTAATAGCATGGGCATAAATCGAAGGTTAAGATACCTAAGCAGTGATTATAAGACCAGAAGGATGAAAGGGAGGGCAGGGAAACATTGCTTCCACCAGAGAAAAAGTTTAAATATTATTTGTCTGATCTTAACCAAATATTTTGTAGCAGAATAATAAATTTCCCTTGGCATAACAATTGTATGAATTTGGGGGGGATGTATCACTTTAAAAGCTCTCATTGACTTAACAAGACTTCAATTCACTCAGCTCTGGAAAGGAGAGTCAGTTTCTCATAGGAAAGATGTCAGCTCCAGTTGACGTGATCTCCTGAGGTTCAGGCCTAAGCCCAGGGAAGGGGTGTTGCTGCTTTGTAGGCCTCAGAATTGACCTCTCTTTTAGCTCTTGTTGGAATTAACTATTTGTTAGGAGTGACCGATGAGCAAGTTGGAAAAGCATGAGCTCTGTTGAGGTGGACCATCCCCATCAGTGGCAGAGGTCACCTCCTTGGAGTAGAGCTTCTACTACCACTCCCCCAGAGTTTGCCAGGTGGTCAGGTGGGAGATGCTCACTTTTACAAATAGATTCTCCTCTTTTCAGTGGCTCCCTGAAATCAACTGGGAGGAAATTTCATTGCATGGCAACCCTGCTGACATTGTGTCCTCTGGCTTGATTTTACTTAGATCCGTTTGGAGGTGACCCCTTCAAAGGGTCAGACCCATTTGCTGCCGACTGTTTCTTCAAGCCATCTGTGACTGATCTTTTTGCTTCCTCGGATCTTGACCCCTTCTCTGCAGTCAGCAGTGGCAGTGACCCCTCGGTAAATGGGAGGCGAGGGATGGAGTGCCTGTTCCATTGGACAGATTGTATGTATCTTACTGAGCTCCCCCAAACTGTAGTAAAGACCCAGTATGTCAGGGGCACCTAGGTGGCGCAGTGGATGAGCACCGGCCCTGGATTCAGGAGGACCTGAGTTCAAATCTGGCCTCAGACACATAACACTTACTAGCTGTGTGACCCTGGGCAAGTCACTTAACCCCGTTGCCTAACCCCCCAAAAAAAAAAAGACCCAGTATGTCCCTCCAGTCAGGCCTGGAGCTCCTCGTTGGGAAAGGCCTTCAGAGCCCAAGTCTGAAACAGGCAAGAAAAGCAGCTTTGTAGTTGGGCCTTGTGTTTGGGCCATGTTCTCAGCCTTATTCCTGTGGCTGAATCTGGGTAATTCTCCCAAAATCCAATATGTTGTGGAGGAGATGCTGCTAGCCTGCTCCCGGTGCTGAGGGAAGTTCTCCAGTGGGGGCTCGGGGCTCTTCAGGCCTTTGGCACCAGGGCAGCACTGGTAGAGTGCGTGCCCCAGCTGCCCTGAAAGCCACTTCCCAAGGGGTGATCATCGCTAGGGCGAGACACTTCTCTCCAGCTTGGTTTTTCTGCTGCCCCATCTCTCAAGCAGGGCCTTCCACTCTAACATAACATTGTCAGTTTTAAAAAGACCAACTTGGCTAGCTCTGGGGAGACTCGTGGAGCATGGCTGTGGAGTAAAGGTCTTCTCAGCCCCTGTATCTCCCAGAGGGGGAAGAAAGTGGCCAGCTGTGGCTGTGGAAGGAGAGCCAGCCCTGAAGAGGAGAGTCGGTGCCCTTCTGATCCCAGCTGGCGTGCTGTTAGTGCCCATCCTGCAGGACATCCCAGCCAGCACTCAGCAAGGTCTTTCTCCTCAGAGAGCTGGCGTTTGCGCTGAGCTTAAAACCGGTCATTACCTGCGTTTGATCACTTTGGTGGGGAGGAATTGTTTGGAAGCAAGAGAGAATTGTTTGGGTTGCTTGGGTTCATTTTTCTTTTTTTGGGGGGGGGGGCTAGGCAATGGGGTTAAGTGACTTGCCCAGGGTCTCACAGCTAGTAAGTGTTATGTGTCTGAGGCCACATTTGAACTCATGTCCTCCTGAATCCAGGGCCGGTGCTGTATCCACTGCGCCACCTCGCTGCTCTGGTTGTTTTCATTTTTAAAAAGTCATAACCCAACATAATTACTTCTTCCACGTTGCCCTAAAGCTGGAGGTGGCATCTGGGATGTTCTCTCAGACTTGTGGGAGTTTAGGTCTGCCATCTTTGGCAAGACAACAATGAAGGCTCTCTGTGTTGTAGGAGTGACTCTTGGATTGTCATGTTCCATTCTGAGCACCACGTTTTCAGTGAGACGTTGACCAGCTAGATCACATTCAGAGGAGGAGGACTGGGGGTGAGGCTGGAAGATGCCATAAGAGGAAGAGTTGGCAGGACTGGGCTTTGAAGGGCTGTCGAGTGGAAGAGGGCCTTCTCTGTTGGCTGGGGTGGGTGGCTGGCAGTTACAGGGAGCCGGAGTTTGGCTCATTTCACATGGAAAATTTCCCAACAATAAGACTTGTCCTTAATTGGAATGGGGTTTTTTTAAGTTCCCCACCACTGGAGATGTTTAAGCAGAGGCTGCATTCAATTCAATTGTACAAACACATACGACAGTCTTGTGTGCAGAGCACCGAGGGATAGGTAAGGTATTGGTTGGATCGTCCCAGGGCTGGATTTTAATGGAGAGGGACAGATGCACAATGCTTTGGTGAAGTGAATCATGTCTCACAGGTCACTTTTTACCCTTGGAAAACACTTAATTGAATCTTGTAGCAGGAAGGGAGCTTTCTTCCAGCATTCTCTGAAAGTGGTAGTGTTGCCTCCCCTTGTAAAGAGAGGGGGTAGGATCAAGACGATAGCTCAGCCCCTTCCAGGGATCCCATAAAAAGGAAGGTTCTAGAAATCTCTTCCTAAGCGGCCCGCTCCATGGCAAGGCCACTCTGATTGCCAGGAGGTGCTAGGTCCCTGGATGGACCTGTCATCTCTTCATCATCTTCCCAGCCTTTTTCTAATCCTTTGAATTTCTTGTCCATGTCCTTTTGTGACTCCTCCCAACAGAGTCCATCCGGCGGCCCCAAGACCTCCTTGTGTCTCGTGATTAATGATGGTGTCCTCTGACTGTCCCCCGTTCACTCGTGCTCTGGCTCCTTCTCTCTGTGCCTCATGGGATAGCCTTTTAGCCCCCTGCTTGTATAGTCAACCACACGCATATACTAGCCGTGCGCTTCGGGACGTGGGGAGATCTACACGTGGAGCAGAAGTTCACCCTCCCTGCAGTCAGTTCTGGCCTAATTGAACCAGATTCACTCAGTGGTCTTGCTTCTGTGCTCTGGGGCCACGCAGAACAGAACCATTTTCTCTTCCACCCCACAACCCTTGGGGTGTGTGAAGGCAGTGTCTCCACCCACGTCTGCTCTGCTCTGGATTAAACGTCTCTTGTTCTTCACCCCTGCCCCACTCCCGTGGCACAGAATGACCAGTTTAGCTTCACGTTCCTTTTCTGAGTCCACCTGTGAGACCTGGAGGTCACACAGCTCAAGAGAGGTGGCCTCGTCGCCGGGCCTGCCCAGCAGTGGGGAGCCTTCTGGAGGTGCTCTGGTCTGCGCTCTGTTGGATCTGTCTTCCCGGAAAGGAAAGGGGCCAGCAGGGCCCAGCGGGACACGTCCCTTCAGGGGGGCCTCAGTCCCGCCTGTCTGCTAGGGGTCTGCATGCACAAGTGCCTTTTAACCTCTCATCTGCCTGGCCTGTGCATAATGAGCCCTTTGGTGGACGGCAGGGGTGCATCTGCCTGTCTGAAAACGTGCCCTGTAGAAAGGAACGTTCACGGTAGGGCATGGCCTGCAAAAATCCCCACGGCATTCTCAGAAAAGAACTGCCAGGAAATGGCCTTCTGACGGGTGGCCAGGGGCACGTTTGCTGTCTCATGTCCTGAAGTTGGGTGTTTTTCAGCTGTTACTGAACAGCTCAACTGAACAACACCCAGTTCTGGGGGGAAATAGAGGCAGGGCGTGTGAACGAGGAATGTTTGCTTCTCTTGACAGAGCGTGTCTGAAATGTTTGTTTAGCTCAAATAGGGTGGTGACTGCAGTCCAAAAGCCGCGGCACTCGGTCTGCGGGTCAGGAAGGTAGCAGCCATTGCTGATGACTGACACCAACCTCAGGCACTTAACGAATGTACGTTGACTGAATGACTGACCGACCAGCTGATTTCCCTCCCCATTGCCGCCTACTTTCAGCCCAGGTTTTCTAAGCTGGCCCTCATACTGAGTCATTGCTCTCCGTACTCTCAGCGGGGAGAGCCTGGCGAGGCCTTGGTGTGGCACATCGGTGTATCTCTGGAGACTGAATCCCTGGTTGACGGGGATGTTTGTGTTCTCCCGTGTTGGCTGTGAGGAGAGCCTGGTGTGGTGGGCTCTTCCATGAGATACTGCAGGTCCTCAGATGTTTCTTGTCCCCACCCGGAGTGGGCATCATTGACTCTCTGTTCCAAAGTCTGCGGTAGATGCCTCTTCTCTCAGATGGGTCTGTGCTAGGGGACGGCGAGCCTTGGCAGTCAGAGGTCAGAGGACCCTGACACCAGCCAGGCTGCGTCTCGGGCAAGTTTTCTCCTCAATCAAGGTTTTCTGTCACTTTATCAGATGGAGACCCTGAAGGACAACGACCCTTTCGCACCTGGAGGAACAGTTGTTGCTGCAGCAAGTGATCCAGGTAAAAAACAAACAAATTAAAAAGCTTCTGACTTCTTTATGTGCTGAACTTATTATGCCGGTCTTAAAAGCACAAATCAGCCTTTCAGGGTTTTTTTCCTAATAAGCACAGATCCTAATGTTTACTGACAACTTTAGGAGGTTTTGTGTTTTGGGGGCCCCTGGGAATCACTTGAATGTAATGTCATGCCACGGGGTGTGCGTGCAGCACCTGACTCCAAGGGAGTCAGTAGCCAATAGCTGCCTTTCTTATAATGTGTGATTCAGTGCAATTCTAGGGCCGGTGAGCATAGCGCCTTGGGCTAGGCCCCATCCTTGCCTGCCTGGGTAAGCTACCGTGTGCTGGAGGGCAGTTCTCGTAATTCATATTTATGTGGCATTTTAAGGTTTACAAAATGATTTTCTCACAACCACCTTGTGAAGCAGACTAGGTAGTTAGTTATATAGTTACATGTTGGTTTTTGTAAGCTGTAAATCAGTGAGAAAACTTGATCGGAGAGGTTATATAATTTGCCAGTGGTCACACAGCCAGTGGATGTGAGCTGGATTTCAAACCCAGGCATCGTAACGGTAGAAACCAGGGGACATGGGATTTGTGAGGGGAAAAAGAGGTGGGAAGAATGGAGAAAGTGTTTCTTCTTGGAGAGATTAGGCAATGTTATTTATGTTTGATGTTATTCAATTTAATACTGAATCAACTAACTTTATTTGGTAATATTTAAATTAGGTTTTAAAAAGTGGGTAGATGAGTTGGCATGATTATTTTAAACCAGGCAGTATGAAAGAGAAAGGAGCTGGAGTGACCTTGGGCAGGATTCCTCATTTGGGAATATAAGTGAAAGAGAGGTGGTGGGGTGGAAGGTGAAGGGTGGACACGATGACTCTTCCCAGTCAGTCCCCTCACAGCTCTGATGGTCCATGTTCATCGGATCGAGATTAAGAGCTGAAAAAGACCATAGGGTCCACTGAGTCCCCCAGCCACCCCACTCCCATTTTACAGATGAGCAAACTGAGGCACAGACAGGGTAAGGGATCTGCAGTTAGTAACTACAGTGGGATTTGAACCCGGGTCCTCCTGACTGGTACAGAAGCCTCAAACGAATAGGAATCTGAGTACCGTGAATGAAAACTGGTGATGCTGTATTTCTGAAGTAAAAATACTGTGAATTGTTTAAGTAAAACTGTTGATAGAATCAAACTTTTTTAAGCACAAAGATTGACCAAAATATATGAAAACTGGACTTTTGTGGGGTGAGCACACGGCCAGGAGAGAGTCAGTGTGGATAAATGTTGGCTCCCCTGGGCAGGCTGTTACTGAGGGAGCCTTAACGTTCAGCTCACGGACCGTGGGGTGGCCTGGGCAGGGCCCTCCAGCCTTCCTGAGGCCTACCCGCAGGAGGGAGCACCCCTCTCACTCCAGCAGGATTTCTCTTCCCGTTGCTGCCTTTGGCTTCTCTCCTTGCAGGTTGTCCCTCCCTTCGGCCATCTGCCTCCCCACGTCCTTCTCTCTTTGCTTTCTCTGGCAGAGCTTGCTACTGTGGATTCAGAGTTTTCCAGCCTGCTCATTATTTCAGCTGTGGGAGCCATAAATTCTGCTCTCCCAATTTTTATTTCTCTTATCTATTCGGGAATATCCTGCTATGGTCCTCTGCTCACTTGGGGACCCAGAGGGTCACCTGCCTCGTCGGGTACTGATTAGTTTTTAGAGGTAGCCTGGTGGCACAGTGGATAGAGCTCTGGGCCAGGAGTGAGGAAGACCTGAGTTCAAATCCAGCCTCAGACGCCCTGGGCAAGTCACTTAACCTCTGTTTGCCCCAATTTCCTTATCTGTAAAATGAGCTGGAGAAGGAAGTGGCAAACCACTGTAGTCTCTTTGCCAAGAAAACCCTGACTAGGGTCACGAAGACTCGGTTGCAGCTGACATGGCAGCCCATTAAGGCGTCAGTGCAGCGTATCACCTGTGGTCGGCACTTAATAAATGCTTGTTGGCTGACCGTCGTGGAGCGTGGCTTTCATTTACAAAGTGAGCCGGATATCTCCGTGTGTCTGTGTACATCCACAGAGAGATGTATGTGGGTGTTTGTGTGTATGTGCCTGTCTACAGTGCGAGACAGAGGTTTGTGTGAACGGGGGTTGGTCTTAAGCAGTCAGAATGGGGTGCTGGACTCTGCATTAGAGTCCGAAGCCTTCCAAGTTCGATTCTACAACTTACCATGTTTGTAACCTTAGACAGTGCAGTTAGCCTTGCTGTACCTCAGTTTCCCTCTCTGCAAAATGGGCATAAAAATCGCAAAATGGGATCTAGAGTAAGGGGATTAAGGTTCCAATCCCACCTGTAAGGCTTTATGTGGGGCAAGTCATTTACCTTCCCCGGGCCTCAGTTTCCCCCTTTGTAAAGTGAGGGGGCTGAACTAGGTGACCTGAGGTCCCTTCTAGCCCTGGGTCTCTGATCCTGCGATCTGTGACCACCATGTAAAGGAAATCCTGTCCACGAGGCACTTGTGTTCCTCAGGGGCTGTCCAAGTCTCTGCTGGTGGGTCTTGACTCTGGAGGGTTTTCCCCGAGTGTCAGAAGAGCTGTTTTATTCTGCACATAGGCACTGCTTTTGTAGAAGAAGCTTACTGGCCCTGAAACAGAGAGTCGTAGGTGCCCGCCCTAGAAGCTGCTTTGGAGCATATCTTGTCTCTGAGGCCCCTGAGGAGAAGGGACTTAACCAAGGGCACGCATTTGAACTGGACCAAGGGCATCCTACCTACACGGTGTTGGGCTGTTTATGCCAAGGGCACCCCACCTCTCGACGACGGGAGCGACGGTGGCCCTCCACTCTGTCCTTTACGTGCCTTTAGTTGTACTGAATTTCAGCAAGTAGCCCTCTCCCCGATCTGATGGCAGCATCTGATTGTATGTGCAGAAGCTAATGTGCGCTTTGTGTCTCGTGTGTCTGCTTTAGCTGTGGATCCCTTCACATCTGTGTTTGGAAGTGACTCCGATGAAGGTGGATTCGCTGACTTCAGTGCCCTGGCCCAGGTAATCTCCGGAGGGGCTTGTAGTGAAAGGATGCCCACTTCTCTTTGAGTTCTACAAACCTGTCGGCTTCTCCCCTAAACTCCGCTGCGGCCCCCCAGCCATCAGTCTGATCTCAGACCAGAGGGAGGGATGGCGTCCGGGGCACTGGGAGGGTGGTGGGGGCGTCAAGGACATCGAGTTTGAGGTGTCTGAAAGTCACCTGGGGTTTCTGGGTGAGAGGGCCGCCAGTGAAGCAGCACCACGGAGGGGCGGGAGAAGAGGGCCCAGGACATAGCTTTGGGGATTCCTCAGCCTGGCCGATGCATCCGCTCCCCACTGAGTTCAGGCCACTCTCCCTGCTCTTCTGGGAGCCGTGGCCTTCTTTGGTGTGTGATGAAGTGGTTTCTAGCACCGGGCTCATTACATCCTGTCCCCGAGCCTTGGTTTCTGTGTTTGCAAAGCGGTACTGCACTTCTGCCACCTCACATTGTCCTGGGAAAGCGTGAGCTGCTGTGGTTACAGAGGGCATCTGCCCTCATCTAGGGGGACTGTGTGCGGCTCAGGGTCCCTCCAGGCCCTTTCCCTCCTTGTTCTCTGGCCTGTCCTTCTGTTCTGTGGGGATGGCAGCAGCTTCTTTGATGCACACAACAACCCATCACCCGCTTTTGACAAATGAAGAAACTGAGTCTGAGAGAGAAGGGAAGTTGACTTGTCCAGGGTCCCCTAGTTAATCAGTGCCTGTGGTGGGTTTTGAATTCAAGTCTGTCTCCATAGTCCCACATGCAGGAAAGTGCTTTGTCAGCTGTCCAGTTCCCATCTAAGTGTGAGCTCCTGTCCTGGCTTTTGGGCAGGCTTGGTGGCGTGAGTCTCTGTGGGGCAGAAACACTTAGCTTGAGGCCTCTCCGGAGAAATTAAACACCGAATTCTCTTGCCTCAGAATGGCCAGGAGGCTTTGGGCTCCTGCCCTGTCCCCAGGCTTGTGCCTGAGCTCTGTAAGCTGCTGCTCCCTCCTCTCTACAGCCTTGGCTGTTAGGGCCCCGTGAGCTGACAGTCAGTCTGGAAGGTAGCTGGAGGTCAGGTCCCATGATGAGTAGACCGCCCCTCCATCCACGTTGTACGTGTCCTGGACAGGCTGGCTCATGGTCATCCGAAGGTTTCTTGTGCCAGTACTGCGTGCCTGGCATCTGAGCTGCTTCTGATATCGTTTCATCCAGGCCCAAGGCAGATGGAGGAGGTGACAAGGTGTAGGAGGCACCGGGGCTGCTCCTTCTCTGCTTTGTGATCCGAGAAAAATCTCCTCCACAGTCTGGGCTCCTGTCTCCTTAGGGCCTCAGAGGTCCTTCCATTTCTGGGTCCTGGGATTCTCCGGAGGTGGAGTCATTTGTTTTAAATCAGGACTCCCTCTCCTCATAGCGCTTCTCCTCCTGTCATTCCTCACCCTGCGGCATCACCATTTGCCTGCCTGTCGATGACATTGTATGGCCACAGCCTTCTTGACCCATTTTCATTCCAGTGATGGTTCATTTCCCATTGGCTGGACATTGACCTATAGGAAAGCACATGGTTGAGTCTTATGAGAATCACTGAGATGTCTGCTCAGTGCAGGAGGGACAGGCCTGGCGGGGAGTGTGAGGCCTGGCCTTTCCCTTGGACGAGCTGTGCCTGCCGCCTCTCCGTAATGGGCGCAGTGGGACTTGCAATGCCCAACACCCAGGATTGTTGGGAGCCAAGGGGGTCATCAGACACAATCCACAAGTGCTTAATAATTTGCCTTTTTGAAGTGTGACGTAAAGTCATCTCCGCAAACTTCTTTTCTTCCACGAAGGACAACAAGGAGGACCCATTTGTCCCGGCCACATCCGGCTCTGCTGACAACGTGGCCACAACTCAGAGTGTGTTTGAGGAGCCACCTCCGGTCAGAGATGAAGACGTGCCCCCTGCTCTGCCTCCCAAAACCGGGACCCCGACCCGGCCCTGCCCTCCCCCACCTGGTAGGAAACGTTTTGTGCCAGTGTGTCCTTCTTCCCAAGGGCTCCAGGGATGGGAAGGTCCCGAGTAAATGTGGGGCCTCCACGGGTCAGAGGGCACTGGTCCTGGGGGACCAGGCTGTCTTAGGATGCCCACAAACAGACTGTCCACCCTCGAGGCCTGCTATTGTACCAACTTGAGAGAGAGGGTGAGTAAGTCTTTAAACAAGGAGAACTGTATAGAAGCTTCCTGTTTGGGGACATTTGTTCATTTGAGGGAGAGAACATGTTTGTCGTGGTTAACTTGTCATCTTCAAAGATGGCTACAAAAGAGTAGGCCTGGGAAAGCCCCGCCCTGTGACTCCTTCCTCAAGAAGAGCTGCCAGCCCCATCAGCCAGCCTAAAGTTTGTGACAAAGTAACTTAAAATTAAATGAGTGTAATCTTTAAAAGAGTATTACTTTTTTTTTTGTTAAGTAAGGTGGAGCTTTTCTTGAGGGGAAAGACTCCTCTGACTTCCGTGAAGCATAGTCTGATTTCTGAAGTTGCCCACGGGTGGTGAGGAAGGCTCCCTGTGAGCGCCGAGGCCCAGCTGCCGCTGCTACTGTTCTGAAAATCTGAGGATCCCCTTGGTTTTTCACCCTTTTGTTCTCAGTGGCTGCGTTGGGCGGTGAGTGTGCGAGGTGGCCTCAGACTGCAAAGTGAGCAGGCTGCGTGTCATGGGCTGGCCGGGCCACGCCAGGCTGTCTGCAGAGCAGCCAGGCACCTTCACTCTGCCCGTGGCCCATGAGGCAACTTTAAAAAATAAATGACATGTAATTTGAAACATTGGTGGCCAAATTCCAGGCCCAGCAATTCCGGGCGCTTCTTCCCGCCTTCTTTCTAGCAGCCTCCCTCGAGCATTTGGACAAATTGTTTTCCTCTTAGAGTTTCAGGATTTTCAGACTTTTTGGTGTGCTACTGCCTTTGTCTCGTCAGTGACTCCCGGCCTCTTGGTTGCCAAGTTTGCCCAGTCCCATGGGGCTGACGAGCAGCTGGGCCTCAGGCTACAGACAGCCCTGGACCTCTCCAGTTAGACTGTGTGGCTCCCGGCAGAGCCTTCAGGAAGCCGCAGAGATGCCCTGAAGGCAGAGGGACTTCTTCCTGTGGGAAGGCCAGTAGCAATTAAGGGAAACAGAGTCAGCTCCAAGTGATTCCTGTAGGCATGCTTTAGTCCCGCCCCTCTGTGGATCATACCAGGGGGCAAAGTGGCCTTATAGAGAGGTTCTTCAGGCTATAAAAAGGGCAGTCTTTATCAGGGTTTGCACTCAGTTTGAAGCATCAGAAAATAATGGAAAGTATCTTGGCACAGTCTGCAATACAGATGTGTTCCCAGTGAGCCATCAGAATAGCCAGCGTTGAGGATGCCGTGGCCATCTCTGGTTCTGGGACCCTTGGGTTGGTGGGGCTGTCTCTTTCCCTGACTTCTCCCTTCCCTCCCCCATGCCCGTCCCCCAGAAAAGTTTAAAAAGAAATGTGATTTAGATCCAGAATTGGTGATGTTATTTTAAGGTGTGCTGAGTGAGCAGGGAGATGTGTCAGAGGCACTCCATTGGCCCCAGGCAAGGCTCAGCATTGGGCTTGGAGACATTTCCTCCCTTGAGGAAGAGAAATTAGAGATGGTTGGGGTGGGGGATATTTTGATGGTTATCATATAAACATATAGAAAGATATGCAATGCATTTGATGAGAGAAATTAGAAAGCAAGGAGTATGAGGGCCATGCCAGAGTTTGTCAGTGATTCGTCCTGCATCTCGCTGCTGAGCCCCTCCTGCGGGCTGGCCCAGTCCCTGCTCATGGCCCAGATGGACACAGATGACGAGAGGCCAGGCAGCCTATAGGAAAGGCGATGAACCAGGGCCCTGGCTCCGGAGCTGGGATCCCCACACCTTCCCAGGCCAGTGGCCTCTCTTGGGGCTTTCCTTGTCTTTCCTGCGCCTCTTTTCCTTCCTCAGCTCGGGCTTCTTGGGAGAAAGGTGCCTTGAGGGCTTCGGGACAGCCCGGGATCTCTAAGCTTAAAGGCGTGTTGGAGGCAGCTGCTTGTCAGCGTTCTGGGGCAGGGGAGAGAAGCTTCTCCAGGCCAGTGGTGTTGGCACGTGCTTGTGGTTCTGTTTTTTCTCTCGCTGAGTTAACTTTAATGATTTTGATACAGGGAAAAGGTCTCTCAGCCAGTTGGATTCTTCCGATTCCCTAAAACTGAATGACCCATTTCAGCCTGTCGCAGGCAATGGTAGCCCCACAGAGAAAGCTCTCGATCTGTACCGCAGCCCGCACATCACTGCTTCCGCCACCGCTGCCCATAACGAGGCTGCCTCAGGCTGCGGTGCTAACGTCAGCGCTGTAAGTACTGGGGGAAGAACTGGACATCTTCTGTTGTCTTACAAGGCTCTATGTGAAATGTCTCCATTAACAGCCATGTCTCTAACACATAAAGTGAATTTAGCTCAACTCCACACCTTCGTTCCCTTCTCCTCCACCAAGAAACCCTGTGCTTAGTTTCCAGGGGAGGGTTCTGGATCATCCTGGATCCCAGGGGCTATGTCCTCAGAGGCTGTGCTGCTAAGCCAGGCCTGCCCCAGTCTCTGGGGTGATGTCAGTAACCTTTCCAGGTGGGACAGCGGGTGCTTAGGAATGATGGGCTAGTGGGTAGGAAATGCTAGCTTGCTTACTGAGTTCTTGGCAGGTGTGAGCTATTGATGTGTTGGGCTGTGGCTGCCTGCCCACCCAGGGCAATGAATGCACGTTGCTCGCTCGCGCGCGCTCTCTGTCTGTCTGTCTGTCTGTCTGTGTGCATGTACATGCCTGGAGTATAATATGGGGAGAGTCCATTTTTATCTAAATTCCCTTTTTAATAGGCGTTTTGCCATAACACTGCTACTTGTAAGTAAGAGGGCCTTGAACATTGTACATACCTGGGGTGAGGGGGCCTGTGTTATTAAGGGAGGAGGCGTTTTCCGGTTGTTTTTCTCATTTAAATATAATGCTTTCCTCCCCAAAGAAAATGCTTGGGCGTAAATTCGGCTGGAGTTAAAAGAAGTAGCAGCAGCAGTAACCGGAGACCATCCCATCAGAGGGGCCTTTTCTCTGCTTGCTGCCTGGGGCCTTGGTTAGTGGGGTGGCCGCAGGAAGCCTGCTGACTCCCGTTCCCTTGGTGTGCCTAGCTCTTAGTCAGCGCCACCTGTGTGCAGAGCTGTCAGGGGGAGAGGGTGGGAGAGGGGCTCGAGCTAGCTGCTCCCCACTGCCCCCATGGGAGTTGGCCCTCTGCTGCCCAGCTCTTGCTGCCACCCAGGGTGCCCACTCCTGCCAGGCCTGCCCTCCTGGAAGTGAGGAAATGACGGAGCAAGAGTCACCTTCTACTCCAACCCCTGCACAGGCGTGACAGGCAGGAACTGAGACACTTTACTGTGTTGGCCATGTTAAATTTAATCTGAGAGAGGGGCTTCAGTGTAAAATACCCCCTGACGGTCAGTCTGGAGTCATTCTCTGTACAAACAGAACCCTGCCTGGCATTCCCGGCACATAGGAGGCACTTAGTAAATGCTGGTTGGTTGGTAGGTAGGTAATGCTGAGCCTCTGGCTCGAGGACATTCTTATGCACCCCCCCCCCCCCCATGGAGTGGCTTCTTTTGTGGTTCAGAAGGACTGGTTGAGCTGCAGTCCTTGGCTTGAGCAGGGGCACAAGCGCCATGGCCGGGAACTTTGGACATCCTTCCTTCTCTTGACCGCCTGCCCTTGCCTCCCTGCAGTGTCGCCTTCCTGCATGGGGTGCGTGTTCGTGGTAGGTTCTGTAGGTCTAGCCTGCCCCTGTGCCCCTGTGTTCTTGGGAAAGCGACTTCTCTGCCCTTAGAACTAAGAGTGTCCGGTCTGGAGGGTGTGGGGCACTGAGCTCAGAGTCTGCCGCTTTCTGCCTGGGTGACCTTGAGGCAGGGCCCATCCCCTCCCTGGGCCTCAGCTGTCTTTTCTGTGAAATGGGAGCTTTGGTTGGGGTCACCTCCAGAGTCTCTGTGCTCTAAAGCGTTGATCTCCTGGGTTGACGTTGGGGTGACAGGCATCCCCTGCAAAGCCTCCTCCCTCTAGAATCTCATCTTTAGTCGCTGTTACGTTTAATGTCTTCAGGTGGGATGTGAAATGACAAGCACCTGCTTCCCCAGGGCCCTCCTTGCCATCCCTCCCCTCTGTCTAGCTGTTCCTTTGAAGAAAAGGCAGCCCTGTTCTCTGGAGCATGTCCAGCCACCATCCTTTAGTCTCTAATGAGAACAGAATCCGGACTTGGGTTTCTTGGGGTGACTTGTGTAGTCAGGGGTTTGCTGCATGATTTCCTGGTAAAGATGCCTTGAATTCGGGAGTTAGTGTGGAGCCTCGGCCACAGAGAGGGGGTAGCTGTGCACTAGCAGTGGAGATGTTCATAGCCTGACGTGTGCTCTGTCTTTCTGCCGGCAGTATCCAACTGAAGAAGATATGATTGAATGGGTGAAGAGGGAAAGTGAGAGGGAGGAGAAAGAGAGGCTTGCCAGGCTAAGCCAGCAGGAGCAGGAGGACTTGGAACTGGCCATCGCCCTGAGTAAATCAGAGATATCAGAAGCGTGAAAGGCAAGGACGACACCGCCAGCAGCATCCCTGCTCCGGAACACCAAAGTGCAGGGGAAATGATTACTGGAAGCTACCTAGGAGCATGAGACTGTAGGCGGGGCCCGACATCTGGCAGCATTCGCCTGGGCTGCTTTGAAAGTGTCAGATCAGAACCCCAGAACGTGCCCTTTCCCTTTACCCAGAGATGAGCTCCCCTTGTGGCCACGTCCGACCTTTGTCCTCAGCAAGGCCAGGGGCTCCTAGGGCCGCTGTGGTCTGAAGGAGGTGGGGTGGGCAATGCCTTCTGTTCTCGGAGGACTAGCCTGCTATGCACACTGCAGTGTGGAAGGTGAAGTTGCATGTTTCCATTTTCTCCTTATAAAAGTCATGGGCAGCTTTGGTTTTCTTCTGGACCAGGGGAGAGCCCTGCTTAGCTAGACTCATACCCTGGACTCATACCCATGGCTGGTAGCCATGGGGCATGACTTCAGATTGGCTCTCTTCCAAAATGCTTATGTGGGAAATAGGTCAAAATCCCTGCTTAACATCAGAGACCTCCCTCTCCATGTTTGTAACCACAAAGGTGGAGAAAGACCATTGTTTCGAGAGGTTACCCCATCCATCAGTTCTGAGCAGAAACCTTAATTAACATGGTGATAATTCTCCCCTTCCCAGGACACACACCATTGGCTCTATTCATCACAGGTTTTCAAAACCTCCTATACCTTTGGCCAGAAGGAGCTTGAGCAAGCCGGGGCTGTTAAGATACTTTATTATCTGTGTACAAATGTTTTCTTTCGTGAAGGTTCCACTTGACTTGCCATGGAGTACAAGTGGGCAGAGGAAATCTGTCTCATTAAAACCTCAGTGAGGCTTGGAGGGAGTTTGGTTAGCTCTTCTCTCCTCTAATGATTTCCCCGAGAAAAGCTGGTGAGGCCAGCAGGGTTGTCTGGAGCTCAGGCAGCCACAAGGCCCCAGCCCTTTCCAATGGGGAGCCCCTCTCCTATGTGAAGCAAGTCCCCAGGCGCATCCCAGAGGGCAGTGGCTCTGCCCTAGGGCACCCTGTAGACTTCAACAGAAAGATGAAATAACTTTTGGCTTTTTTTCCTAACAACTTATTAACTGTTCGTGTCACGTCTCAAAGGCCAGGGTACAAAAATGGTACCTCAGACCCATGTTAAGCTCCCAGCAGCCTCCAGGTGGAGGTCACATTGACATGTATTCATGAAAGTGGCTCCTCTCCTACCCGTGCACTTCATCTGCTTGTTAAAAGACCTGCTTAGCTTAATTTTTGAGCTGCCCTGCTCCCCTGTGGCTCCCCCAGCCCCAACACAGTTGGCCTCTCGTGAGGGCAGACCTGTTAAATCACTAGCCACCATACCTGCTTTGTAAATAGAATTGTTTCCAGGTGGGACCCTCCGGCTGAAATGAGAACTGTTGCCCCCCCCCCCCAAGGCTCAGAGCTCCCCGCTGAGGCTGCCCCAAGGGCTGTTAAGGGGGGGTGACCTTTAGGTGGGTGGTGAGCACTCTCCTCCCTCCCCCCCCTTGTTATTTCAGGAAAACAGGTAAGTTGACTTGAACAACCTTCTTTTGCACTGGGAAAATGAACAGCGTTACAGCTGCTCAACCAATAGGAACCTTTGGTAAGGACTCAGTCCCTCTGCTGTGTCTATACCAACTTGGATGTCTTCAGTGTACACTAATCTGACATGTTTAACTGGACTACATCGACTCTGAGCTTTTGTTTTAAAATGTACACTCAGTGGACCAATATGTTATGAAAAGTGTATATATTCTGTATGTGCGTGTGTGCGCGCGCGTGTGTATTCTTGCTCTCACGTCTGGTGTTACAGTCAGGGAGTCTCCTGGTGGTCAGTTTCAGGTTCTTGACGTGTGCTGTGGTGTCCACCACACTTGAAGGCAAGATCGGCCCCTGCTGGGCATTTCAGGTGGGCTTAGGCTCTGTTTATAGGATTTTCTCCTTTGTCTCCAAACTTCTAAACTATAGCTTGTAATTATGAGGAAATAAACTTTAAATATATAACAAAGCATATCGTCTGTCCTGCCTTCCCTGTGCGTTCTTGCTTCAGGTTGGTAGAAAGAACCGAGTCTAGAGACCAGATTGGAATCCAGGCCCGTCAGACTCGGAGCGGGTGCTGTGTCTGCACTGCTGATGAAGGGTAGCAACGTAGTGGCAATGAGGACGTTGCACCGGGCCTCTTTGTATGAAGTGGACCTTTGAATTGTACAGAAACCCTGCCAGGTGAGGTGTGAGTCCTGATTCTCTAGTGACACTGTTTCCTCTCTGTACCTCCAGCACACTTTCAGTCAGTAAACATTTATTAAGCACCTACTGTATGCCAGGCACCATGCTAAGGTCTAAGAATACAAAGAAAGGTAAAAGACAGCCCCCGCTCTCAAGGAACTCACTGTCTAATGGCAAAGACAGTATACCAACAACAATAGACAAACACGATCAATGAATTGGGCATAATCAACTAATATTAGAACTGAGGGGGCTTAGGAAAGGCTTCCTGTGGGATTTCATCTTGGACTTTGGGAAAGCCAAGAGGAAAGATAATGAGTTCAATTTTGGATTTGTTGAGCCCAAGATGTCTACCATGAGATATCCCAGTAAGAGATATCCAAGAGGCAGTTATATGTGTAAGACGAGGTCAGAAGAGAGGTTAGGGTTGGACAAATAAATCTGAGTTGGTAATTTGGGCCTAATCCAGTGAGCTGAAATTTAATAGGCATGAATGTGAAGGCATGCTTAGATTCAAACAGTCTGCTTCACAAATGTAAGAGGGGGGCCTATGGCTAACCAGTCCACTTGAAAGACACCAAGTGGTTTGACAGGATCGTCAGCTCAAGATGAAGGATTGGGGGGTCGTGGCAAGAAAGCCTCAGTGCCCTCTTGGGAGATACAGAATCTGAGACAAAGGAGGCAAGCGGTTGTCTTCTTCTGTGCTCTGGGCAGATCACTCTTGGAATGTGATGTGTCAGTCTAACAACATGCAAACAACAAGGCACCCGCAGGGTGAATGGAAGGGAATCTGGAAAGGGAAGACCCTTGCAGCTGGGGAATCGGGAAAGGCCTCCTGCTGAAGGGGAGATTTTAGGAAAATGAAGGCATGCGAGAGCCGCTGCCGCTGCAAAGGGCGCAGAGATAGGAGATGGCCTGCCTCAGGAAGGACAAGTCAGCAGTCTAGCTGGATTGGAGGGTGCAGGGGAGGTGGTAAGGCATGAGGAAGATGGAAAGGAAGGAAGGGGCCAGCGTAGCAAGGGTTTTAAATGGAGGACTTTGGGGTTTGATCCTGAGGTGATAGGGACCCACTGGAGTTTACTGGGTTGGAGGATGGGGAGTGGGGAGAAGCGATATGGTCAGACCTGAGCTTCAGAAAAACACCCGAGCGAGGCCTGGATTCTAATCAGGGAAGGCATGTAGCAATACCAGAATCTGTTCTATCAGCTTGTTACTTGGGCTCCCTGGGCTCCTCGGCGTGCACCAAAACTAGAATTTCCAGACACGGATGGAAGTTTCTAGACAAAACACAATGTCCTCTGACCCCTGGAAATCTGCCAGGGCCTTCCTTGTGTGACCAAGAGGGACGAAGAGATAAGAGTCTCATGTTTAATGTACAACCCACCTCATTCCGTTCAAGTATTAAGAGAGGCCTTCGAGCAGAAGAAAGAGAATGTCAGCTGGAAAAAACAGATCAGGGCTCACAAAATTTGTTTTGGATCTCCTGGTGTTAGAGAATGTTGTCCCACGGCCAAGCTGCCCAGGTCCACTACAGATCTGCCACCTTCTTCCAGCGCCATAACTGGGAGTCCATTCCATTGTGTCGTCTGGAACTTCCTTCTCTTATTAATGCGAAGTAACAAGCGCTTATTAAGCACTTACTGTGTTCAGTGCTGGGGATACTATAAGCAAAAAAGAAAGACTGTCCCCGACCTTAGGGACCTCATATTCTAATGGGGGAAGGCACACAAAAAGAAGTTGAGAAGTTGGGGGTGGGGGAAGGTACCTACTGAGGACACAGTAAAGTCCAGAGAATCAGAAACAGAGCCAGATGGGGGAATAAAGTAGGTATTACTCATGGCCAGCCAGGGCCCCTCCCCAAGATGGAGGGCCCAGGGAGGAACTTGCCCGTGGGGAGAAGGGAAGGAAAGGGCAGAGGAATATTCCAAGGTGGGAAGGCAGCTGAGGCCTGGCGGCCACAACCAGAGAGTCAGAAGCAAAGCTAGGAGGGGAATGAAGCGTGGCTGACTTGGGTCTTTCTAAAATGGAGGCCTTGGAAGGAACTCAGCAATGGAAGAAGGGGACCAGCATGGCAGAGGGGCGGCCTGGGTGGGAGGGCTCCAGGGCAGTTCCAGTTAACAAACTTTCCTTCAACATAGACCTTCTCCGTCATGCGCCTTCTGCCTCCTGGCAGTCACAGAGTCCTGGCTTCTCTTCCACCCCCACCCCCCAAGACTGCAACCCTGAGCATTGTCCTGTCATGTCATCAGACACAGGGCCAAGAGGGCAGAAGCATTGCTTGTTTCTGAAAGCACTTGCTGACTCTCCCTCTATCACCGTACTTGGCAATCTCCCCTTCTTCAAGGTTTATTCCAGTCCATTTCCTGTGACTTACAACCCCTAACCCCATTCTGCATCCTCACCATGACCTCCAGTTCTCCCACTCATTTTTTTTTCAGTTGTGTCCTACTCTCCATGACCCCATTTAAGGTTTTCTTTCTTTCTCTCTTTCTTTTCTTTCTTTCTTTCTTTCTTTCTTTCTTTCTTTCTTTCTTTTTCTTTCTTTCTTTCTTTCCTTTTCCTTCCTTCTTCTTCTTCCTTCCTTCCTTCCTTCCTTCCTTCCTTCCTTCCTTCCTTCCTTCCTTCCTTCCTTCCTTCCTTCCTTCCTTTCTTTCTTTCTTCCTTCCTTCCTTCCTTTCTTTCTTTCTTTCTTGGCAATGGGGTTAAATGACTTGCCCAGGGTGACACAACAAGTGTCTGAGGCCAGATTTGAACTCGGGTCCTCCTGACTCCAGGGCTGGTGCTCTATCCACTGTGCCACCTAGCTGCCCCCCATTTGGGGTTTTCTCAGCAAGATACTGGAGTGGTTTGCCATTTCCTTCTCCAGCTCATTTTACAGATGAGGAAACTGTGGCAAACGGGGTACAGTGACTTGCCCAGGGTCACACAACTAGTAAGTATCTGAGGCTGGATTGGAACTCGTCCTCCTAACTACAGGCCCAGTGTTCTATCCACTGCCCCGACCTCAGTTCTTTCCTAGGCCATCTTCCCTGAACTGACTACACTCTCCTCCCTTCCCCCTCTTGACTGCTTAGTGAACCAACAGTTCTGCACTGTCCTCTGCTTTCGAGTCCTTTCCCCCCAATCCCATCCGTCAGCCATCATGCCTTGCCAAACCCTGTCCTTGCATTATTCTCACCATCTAATGCTTTTGATTGTCTTCATGTCTTGCTAAATAAATAAAGCTGGGGGGGGGGGTGGAATCACCACCCATACTGATTGGTGGGTCCACTAAAAGGTCATCTTAGTTGGATCCTTTCTGTGGCAGGATGAGTCTTTTACATTGCCCTGATCGATTCAATGTCCTGCTTGCCACAGCAGCTCTACAAAACCTCTGGATCCCTCCACCCCTGCCCTCACCCCTTGGCTCAGGACCTTGCCTCATACTGATCCAAAAACTTGAGGCCCTTCACCCAGAGCTCTCTTCTCTCCCCATCTTGCATCACTCGGTCATCTTCCCCCATCACTTCTTCCTTCCCTCTTGTCTCTGATGAAGCCATGGCCCTTCTTGCCAACACGCCCCATGATCCCCCCACTTTCCTTCTCTCCTTCCCTCTCTTCCTTTCTCCTCTCTCCAGTCTCTACCTATTGGCTTCTTCCCTGCTGCCTACAACATCCCATTGGGTTATTAGGAGTAATCATATAATAACAACTCTCATTTACATAGCACTTTAAGCTTTGCAAAGCACTCTATGAATTTTATCCCATTTGATCTTCATAACAACCCTGGGAGCTAGGTGCAGTGTTTACCCCCATTTGGCAGGAAGCTGAAGCTCAGAGAGTTTTAGTGACTTGCCCAGGATCGCACAGCCAGATCAGATTTAACTCAGGTCTTCCCGACTCTGGGTCCAGCGCTCTATCCACTGGGCCACCTTAGGGTAGAGAGGCGGGTCGGAGCGCACGAAGGCCAGCCTTCCCCACTCCAGTGCTCGGTGCGGTCAGCTGCTCTTAGGTCTGTTGGCTTCTCTCTCTTTTCAAGTGAGCATGAAAGGAGGCCGTGAACTCTTGGTCTTGGAGAAGAAAGTGTCCTCCTATAGATCTCTGTGAGAGTAGTCCCCAAACCCAGGGTACCATGACAGCGTGGCCCTTGGATTTTGTCCAGGTCTGTTCTGTTTTCGCCTCTTCCTCTCACTTTGCAGGGGAGGAAACTGATCCCTGATGAGGGGAAGCAGCTTGCCGGTGGTCTCGGCGTGAGTGGTAAGAGATAGAACCCAGGGCTCCTGACTGGCCGACTCACCACGTTGAGCTGCAGAGGCCCTTGTCAGCCAGAGAGCACAGGGGAGGGAGGCATCAGGACTAGGGTGAAGTCTGCCCCGAACCCGTGTGGGGGGCATCCCATTTAGCTGGAGGGCCTAAGACCCAGCCTTCTTCAGCCAGCTTTGCCTTCCTGGCCCAGCCCTTTGATGTGTCTCTGGTGGATGAGGGAGATCTGAGACCCTGGAAACAAGTGCCTTCTTGTCTCATTCAGCCTGGGGCCCTCATCTCACGTATGGACCCCAACTCTGTGCCAGAGCTCAAGGTCTTTGATGTGGTTAGCCAGAGCTCACGGGGTCCATCCCACGAAGTGACGGGAACTTCCTTGGAATCGATCCCAGTCTCCCCATCTCTGTCTGGCCAAGTCCAGCCCAGCCTAGGTGCTGCCTCCTCCCTGAAGGTGGCCATGATGCCCCCGTGGGTAATGACTTTGCCTTCCTTAGAAGACTCCAGGCCTCTCCAGGGAGCTGAGAGAGCACAGTGCAGAGGAAG